AGCGGTGATCTGTTTTCTTTCTTCCTTCCATAAATCTGTAAGTAGGAAATATAATGGTTATTTTGTAACAGGTAAAAATATGTATTACAAAACTGGGAGCTGATAATACAAGTGTGCATGACAGTTAAGAGTTTAGAAAGCTATCCTTGCTTTCAAATGTGCAAAACATTTTGGCCAAATACTGAATTTTATTCATCTGTGCACATAAAGTGTGAGCACAAGCAATGTCCAATCCTTCCATTTGGTCCTTTGGAATCGGCAGTCTGCCCTGACTAATTTGAATGCTCTGCAGTGCCTCCCACATACTGACACTGCCGAATCTTTTAGAAGGGGCAAGTAGGGGCCCTGGCTGCAGCATTGAGACAGCCAGGACTCTAGAGCAGGGCTACACAGTTTGGAAGCAGTCAGGAGAATAAGGCTCTTGCAGGTAATATGTCACCTGCCCTTTCACACAGACAGCGGAAGTGCACAGCAGCATGGATTGCACTGAATGACCCTTCTTTTTTGTGTGTGGAGGATCTTGGTTGGAGTCTACTGTCAGAAGAATCATCCACAGGAATACTGCCTTGCCTTTACCTTTCTGTGGGTTCATTTTGGTGGGTTTTGTAACTGAGTTAAGTCACAAGTGTTGTTTAGTGAGGTGTTTGTTCATTATTAAAAGTTTCAGTCAGAATTTTTGCAACAGGAGTTGATGGAGAGCTGCACTGTCTAGTTTAAGGCAGTCTCTCCTGCAGACACCTCCTTTCAGGCATTCTCAGCCTGATTTCTGCCCAGCCAGGGTAACATCACTGACTGCAGTACACTTACTTCTGATTTACACCAGGGTGAGTATTTGAAAACCTTTGGGACATTGAAGATTCATGTTCAGAAAGTAATTTCTGCTGCAGTATCAAAGTTTCTGTTTAATCACTGGCCTGTTTGCTTGCACCGGAGGTTTTAATTCTGCTTGTGATTAATTTCCATGTGTTCACATAATCAGACACTTGTGAACTAATAAAATTCAAAGTGTAATACTACATTGCTGAAGGCAGTGAAAGCTCAACATGACATGATTTAAAGACTCTAATATTCAAATCAGAAAACAAGACAAAAAGCTGTTAATACTACTTTCTACTCCCCTTTTCAGGCTTTTGATAAAGACCCTGTCTGACTGTCTTTTATCAGACAATGTAATTAGAAGTGGTAGATGAAAGGGACCTACCTGCAAGATTGGATCCTAAGAAATTAAAATGAAAATATTTTAGGAATATTTCAATTTTAATAGATGTTAAATCTTTGCGGCATTTTTTAAAATTATTTCTTTCCAAGGGAACTACAATCTGCAGTGCTATAAACCTGTTAAACGTTACCACATTACAGGTGGAGAACCCCTGTTCCCTGGCTGTGTTTATAATTCTTTTTTTTCTTTTTCTTTTTTTTTCAGAAAAGGTTCTCATGCACTTTTCTTTTTTCCTTATTCTTCACAGTTTCATGTAATGTATTTCCTTGCAGTATTACAGTAATTCTGACAAAACCAGTACATATAAAACGTTTCTAAACATTATTGGCATAGCAATAAAAAATAAGAAATGTTTGAAGGATTTATTTTGGAACCAGAAGTAAGTCATGGGCTGTGCCATGTTAAGACACCATAGCCTGGCTGGGACGGCTCTGTCTACACAGTCTCAATTCTGTTCAGTTTTTCAGTAACAAACTTAAATCAAATTGGGGGGGGAAGAACAAGAAAAGAGAAAATTAATAGGAATTCTCACTCGTCAGGCAAAGCAGATCCACAGGGGGAGAATTTCCCACTAGGAATTTAAAGCCTAGTTCTCCATAGCTTTTCTGGGTGGTGTAAAAGTACCTAGGTATTCTGCTCTGCTAGCCAGTAAAATGCAACCTCACCTCTGTACAAGCTCTCACATAAATTCCTGTTAGCTATAGTACAGGAGATTGTTTTGTGGTAAATTAACAACCCACGTATTGCACTTGTGGAATGTTTTCTTTCTGGAGAGTGTGGAGAGGTAAGCTTGGCAGGTTTTCTGTTTTACATTTGTATGTACTGCAGTATTACCAATAGATCACATGAATGGGTATGGTTTGAGGGTTTCTGTGTAAATAACTGTTGCAGAGTTTCATAGGAAACATGGGCATGTTTTTATGAAGTGCTAAGCATCTATTCTTGAAAAAATGGATCTTGCCCAGGACATGCTTTTTATCACAGACAAAATCACTGCTTGTAAAATGTAGATCATGGGCCTGAGCTAAAATGAAAATTGACTTCTATTGTGTTATTTTTCACATTGTATTTCATAGTGCTGTTTGTTGGCTTAGATCTTTGGTAAAAACAGCATGGAGAATTAGAGTTCATTTGCGTTTGTCTTCTGGGATATCGGAAATTATTTGTGCGCTTGCTGAAGTAAGTTGTTCGTTTAAATTATCAGAGTTTTAGGGGAGAGTATATTCATTTTGGAGGCAACTTCATTGACTCCAGTAGAATTGATCTTGATAAGAGTTCATGTTGACTTGGCGAATGTGTTTTCATTTTCTGAGTGTGTAAATAAGAATCATGTGTTAAAGATGCTTCTTTTATAGTTAGAGGGAAAGAAAAAAAAAAAAAAACCACCAGAAACAACCAAGTATGATTTTTAACTTTTCTGATCCTCCGAAGCACTTATCCTGTGTTCTGTTAGCCTGTACATTAGATAGTAATTGGTAAGGCTTCATATTTAGATAGCTTAGTTATGGTTGTAGGCTGGAAGGGAAAACATTTCTCTGTCGGCTCTTTGCAGTGGACTGCAGCATTAAAGAATGTTGGATACGGAGAAATATGTGTATGTCATGCCTGCTTCTTACTTATTCCATTGAAGTTCTGAGGACTGTAGTTTTATGTTCATCAGGGTTGTTAGGTGTATATTTAAGATCCTAGATGAAAAAGCACAAAACTAACCGATAATTTTGACAATCCTGTAGATTGTTTAAAATTAGTACTATAAGAAAAATAAGACCTCATTATCAAATTAACAATAATTCTGCTTCCTAATAATAAGAACAGCCATTGAAGAGGCATATATATCATGTTATTACTGACTTAACAGGTTTTTCAGTATTTTTACCTGTGCTATAAAGAAAAAAACATACTTTACCTAGTAAAAAAATAAATAGCAACTAATATAAGTTTAAAAAAAAGTAATTTCTTTTAGATCAAAAAGAATGGCTGATTACACAAGGTATATTAACCTTATTGAGGTTAAGCAATTATAAGATTGACTAGTTTTTGTTGTAGCGGCATTGACATGTTCATAGATCATAGGTGAGGAAATACCTGCCTTATTCTACTGAGTCCGTTGTCAAAAAAGATAACAATTATAAAAGGACTTGATTAATGAAGCATAAAAGATAACAAATCAGAATAGCACAGCAATTAGCAATTAGCTTGTTGATAATGTTTTAGCAGTGTTCTTTTTGCTGATTATATTATTTTGAAGTTACCCACCTGTTGAACTCAATAGAAATTACCTCTCCAAATTACTGAAGTTTAGAAAAGCTGCTTTCCCATAAATGCATTACCAGGCAGCGAGGAGGATTGTGTATGTGTGGAAGGCTGGGGAGATTCATGCATGTAATTCTGTAAAACAAAATCAATAAAGCTGATGACAGATTAAGTTGCTAAATTTTGTAAAACTAGACTACTGTTTGGGTCATCAGCACAGCACTATTGGATTGTCTATGGTTTAATGCTGAAAAACAGGATTATTGATTTTAGGATTTTCAGCGTATCCCCTCTGGGAGTTCTTAAGCAGTCTTTATAATGCTTCACACTTAAGTTGACAACTACAGTGACATAACTGTGTCCTCGCCTTAGTAATCATTTTCTAATCATATTGGAAAAGGCTGGAAATGGTTTATAAAATGATTATTCCAGACAAACAGGGGAACAGGAGGGTTGTCGGGACATCGCTTCTTTGTCTGGTGGTCATTGCTACCTGCCTGCCATCTTCCCTTGGAATTAACTTACAGTCACAGATTAAGACCTTTGACTGTCATAAATCTGCTTCCCAATATGTTTGACTGGCAGGGGAGTTCACAAGCCGTCCCAATATAAATAGGATTTTAGCACATCAGGTGCTGCTCCAAAGTAAAACGGACTGTTTTGCAGTCGACTTTGTTGGTGTATATTCATCGCTTCTCTCCTGTTCATGTGTATGCATGCCTGCCTGTGTATGTGTGTGTGTACGTAAAGTAGAAGCTGAGATAGGGTAACAAAATGAACTACTGTATGCAAGAAATATATGAAGTGCACCCAGCTGCTGGTAGCAATTGCTACATGCAGTCCACTGATTATTGCACATATATCGAAGAAAATCAGGGTTACAGCAGTTGTGATGCTCAGGTCCTGCACAGTAACAACATATATATGGAACAGGCCTGGGCGGTGAATCAGCCTTATACCTGTAGTTACCCTGGAAACGTGTTTAAAAGCGAGTACTCTGACATGGACATGGCCCTGAATCAGTACAACCAACCTGAATATTTCACCGAAGAAAAACCTACTTTTTCTCAAGTGCAGTCGCCATCGTACTCTCAGAAGAAAGGTAGGGGCAATTTATTTAAATACCAAAAAAAATAAAATATATAATCTCTGTTTTTGTTTTTGTTTTGCTTTAAACTTATAGTTGCATCAGTTGGCTCAGATTCGTCTTTGAATGTGAAGGCTGCCTGTTCAAAATTGAAAGCAGCAGTAACATAGGTTGCTAGGTGATTGTAAGGTTTTCTGTGAGCGATGAGGATTTCCAACCACTTTTTCTTAATCTATAAAAGACATTTGCAAATGTATTGCTTGCTTTTTGCTTTCTGGCATTGTTAAGTTCATTTGCTATTCAACTGTGAGCTAGATAAGAAAGTTTCTTCTGAAATGTCGTCATTATATAGTCTGCATTGTAAAGCTGTATTTGGGGCTACATAAAAACAATTTGTGTGAGTCCTCATTATCGGTAGATGGGAACTCTGTTTACACAGCAACTCGAGCAGAATGTTTTGAAAAAGAACTGCAAATGGGAAAATTATTACATTTGATAGAATTACTGTCTTTTAAGTGAAAGCCGTGTAGTTGCCGATTTTGCAAAGCAAAAAGATTGAAAATTCAGGAATATATCTATGCAAGAAATACTACTCTGCATTCAAAAAGTTGATCTAATCAATATGTTTGTGAGAGATAATCAGAGTACAAGATCTGATCCCTCAGGGTTAAATCATTGTCTGTTTTTAGAATGTACTGTTTTGCTTTCAAGTAAGCTAAGCAGGTATCATTTCTCAAAAAGAGCCCAGAATACCAACAAACACTTGGAAATGTTTTCAGTGTTATTTGTTCTGAAGTCGGACAAGCAAACCGAAGCCTATGGAGTAAATGTTCTCTGTGTTCCTTTAAAATCACATTATTAAAGAATAAAAATACACAGTCTCTTGTACCAACATAATGTCCTTTTTCTATTAAGACCAGATTTCCTGTATGCAGTTACCCAAAACCAAAATGAATCTGATGTAACTAGGTAGATGGAGAAAACACCATTTACTACTTTCAAAGTGGCTTTGTAGTAAAAAGTAAATGGTTTAATCTTACTAATTACATGGGAAACTCAAATATTTTCCGTTGTGCTCGCAATATGCAGTAGTACTTGGTGCAGTAAATCTGTATCTTTGGTAGAAAAAGTAATAGTTTTATACTTTGAGCAGCATTGTATTTCATAATAAAATAAATATATATTTTTTTAATCCTTTTCTAGGAAGCTGTAAGAGCATGATCAAATTGTAGACTAAATGTAGTTGTGAATAATGCATGGTTTTGTATTGTGTAGCATTTAAAATACTGTCTAAGGCTATTTATCTGCTTAACTAGTTCATTAACAACTCTTGGTAGACTTTTCCCGTCTCTTACTTTCGGTTTAAGAAAAATAGTACACAGGATTAACTTAGAGAAAATAGAGACTTGCTATTGCAAAGTTTGTGAAGGAATACAATTTTTTGTAAAGTTAAAGGTTATAAAGAATTATTCATATACTTAGACCAGAGTTTTTAAGTAAGTTTTTTCAGTACCTAGATGTCTGACATCTGCTCTGTTTAAGGTTTGGTTGAAACAATAAGGAGTTGTTTTTAAAACCTGCTTGTCTAGCCGTGTTTTCTACTACTTTGGTCTCACCAAGAAATAGCAGTGAATTTTGGTGGAAGCAGCTTTCTGGCAGGCTCTTAATTGATAATTCACAGAGACTAAGCAACATTCTTTGGGGTTCTTTAGAGCCTTATTACTGTGATAATCAATAAAAAGTTGCCTCCCTTCTGTCAAACCTTTGCAAATGCTGAGTTTGTTAAGCAGAAGAGATCTAAACTATGTGGGACATGTGCTTCTTCTCTTCTTTTCTTTTTTAATTTCCATCTTTTTAAACAAGCTATCGTAAAACAAACGAATCTTTTAATCCTGTCCTAAGAACAGAAGGCTCTACACAGGGCATGTGTGTCTGTATTGATCCAAAATTGATTTTGAGGGGGACAAGGGAGTTTGTTAGAGAAGCCTTGGTAATAGCCCATTAAAGCAAAATTAAGTCCCTAAACAGGTGTTCATGAGGAGTCTCGATTGTTGTGGTTGGTGTTTCTGTTAGCCCCTGAAATTTGTATTAATCACAGTACTATGCTGTTCAAATCAGATTGCACTGTACAGTAGCACATGGAGTCTTTTCCTAACAGAACATTTGCTAGTTATGAAATGGTTAAAGTCTTATTTTCCTCATGGGAAGAAAAAAAAATAAATCACTTTATATGCTGAAAAAAAAAACAACTATTTATGAAGGGGAGTTTAATTACTTCTCTATCTTTATATCACTTTAAAAGAATTCAGAAAATAACTTCAAAAAGCAAGAACCAAATACGTCAACAACATGTAGCTAAAGGAAAAAAAGAAGTATTTGGAAAGTATAGCCAGTTATTCTGAAGTATAAGAAAGCACTTAAGCTGCCTTATTATTGCAGTACATTAAAAACTACTGCTTCCTGATTATCTGTCACAAATTCTGATGAAACACTTGAATTTTAAAGGAAAAAATGATGTTCCAGAAAGTCAAGAGATGGTGGTGTGGATTTAGCTTTGCATCTGCTTGTTGCTCCTCTGTCTTTAGTGCTGTGGTGTACAATGTTAAAAGGCAGCAGCACAATATTCATGCAGGATCTTGCTATTTTATTAAGGAAGCCCTTTTGAACCTGATCTTACACTAGGGAACAGGCACTCAGATACACTTTGTTTTCTGCATGAGGCTGTGAAATCTGGTGGGCAGAACCAGGCTGATCATCATAAGAACGAGATGCTAGTCCCATTCTGTCCCACAGAGTTTAAATTGGCATATTTTTCGGCCTCTCATGGTGCCATCAGCCATGGTGAGCTGCAAAACTGCACATTGGATGAGTGATGCTGTGGGAAAGCCCGTGTTACCCTACCCTTGTGCGGAGGCTGAGTCGCAAGGAAAAAGTGCCCCTTGACCTCCTCACACTGCCTGAACAGGGATGAGAAGTACTCAGTGACAGGGCAGAAATAGTGCAGTTAGGGAAGTACAAAATAAATATGTACAGAGATCTGTAAACCTCAGCATCCCTGTGTGTGGTGGGCATGCAGTGTTTTGGCTGTTTGGACAATGTGGGAAATAGGTCTGTGAAGTTAAAACTGGGCTGTGGACTGGCTTCACTTCCCTTTACCCACTGATTTCCCAAAGTTAACAAAGGATGCCCACAGCTGTTTATGAATTTACACTTGAGGCTCTGAGGAGGTGGACCAGAAGTAACCAGAGACAGCCCCCCAAAACCAAGGGTTTGTAGACAGGAGTTCTTGAGTCAGGCTGTAGCAGTGCTGGCTCCTCAGCCCTGCATCTCATCTTGCTTCCCATATTCAAGGTGAAGTTGATGCCACCTTTTTTAGGGCTGTTGGTCCAGTGGGAGAATGAGGCTTTTAAAGTTACTCTTGTTGTATAATTGTAATTGTCATTATTATTTCCCTTTTCATTTTCTCAAGCAATTTATGTGCAGCTGAGAATATATATTGCATAGCTAATAGAGTATGCAAGTCAATTAGTCCAAACAGGGTTTTCAGTGGTGCTAAAAAATTTAAAGGCTACTTTCTGAATAGCTAAGAAAATGTGAACTGGAGGTTATTTCAAAATGTCTTCTCATCAGTGCAGCAATTATGTGTGCATAGGATCAATTCTCAAAAACATGGGGCATTTTTCATCTCGGCCTGTGCAGCAGAGCAGCTTCCAGTATGTTAACAATTATTTTGGGCTTAAAAATTATTTCATTTTGCTCCTGACTGCCTATCTAAGGAGATAGCTCTGATCAGAAAAATTGCATCTTATTCATCTAATCATTATACATTTGGAGTATCTGTTCCTTTTTTTAATAAAAATGTCAGCAGAAGAAGTGTTTTCAGCTCCTTTACTGTAACCTTTCCACAACCAAATGAAGAACGGGAAAGTGAACTAAGTCATACTTTGCATTTGCATCAGTAGTAAAACCAATGCTCCACGAGGCTTAGATTTCTGAATAGGTAAGTTACTTGTGATACTAAGCTATGGTCTCTAAAAAACACTTAAATCAGGTTTTTTTGGGAAAAAAAAAAAAAAATTGTTTGGTCAGCTCTCACAGTAATGCATTTTGTACCTGCAGTTAATAATGGACGCAAGGACCGACCACAGCAGTTTAAGCCATAACACAGTTTGGGCTAAAAGGTTTTCAGAACTTCATTGCAAATTGCACTACTGTTGATAAGAGTTTTGACTCAGCCCAAAAAATAGGTTTAATACACAGAAAATTCATTGAGGGGAAAGAGATTATTAAAAATGTTCCAAAATCTGTTTTTGCAGAATCTCTTTCCAAACTTCATTGCTTCTGTAAGTCAAAGAATGTCAATGAAGATCAAAACCATGTACAAGCAAGCCAGTTAACTAAGAGTAAATATGTGAATCTGTTTAGCAACATTCTCGGTGCTTTGAAGCTCAACAGAATTTAAAAAGCCGTTTTTCCCAGTGGGGTAGTTTAAAGAAAGTGAGAAACAAAGATCAATGTATCAGCTCAGTCTTTCAGATGAATATTGATAATAACACAAACAAGAACAGAATATGCTTTTTTTCTCACACAGCTCTATGCCTTCTCCAATATTAGCTTTTTCTACACAATTGTATGGATGGTGGATGGTTCTTGTATTTTTTGTAATTTGCAGAGAGTTACAATGTGACTCTGAAATAAGTAGACCAGCAGTATGAATTTTCTTTTCAGTTCTGATACAGTTGGAGCTTCTCAAGGTAATAATTATTTCATCTTTTTCATTTTCATACTGCAGTGTCTGGTAAGTGAATCCTAGCTTACTTGTAAGTCCTGAATGCCTCATTTATTGAGTGGTCTTTAGTCACACAAGCCATACCAGATGGGAGAAAAAAAGATGTCAGGGAATATATTTAATATATATGACTCTGCCAGTATACAGTGAAAAACAAAATACTGAATAATGATCTTAAAACACAAATGTCCTGGTGTAATAGCAAAAATGGCTCTTTCTGCTTGCA